TGCCACAGCATGGCCTGATGAGCTGTGTGTAGGTCTGCACCATGGATCCGAACCCCCAGAGCCTGGGCCACTGAAGGGGAGCACGCAAACTTAACCACTATGCCACTGGGCCAGCCCCTACTCCTTTTATTTTAAACACACAAAACAAAATAAAACAGTGAGGAAAGGAAGACCAACCCTTTTCCAAAAAATGTAAGGGTATATTTTATCATCTTAACCCAAAAAACACTACAAATGACTCTCACTCTAAATCAGCATTTTTTTTTTTCAAACTGCAAGTCAGGACCTGTTAATAGGTTAAGAACTCAATTTAGAGGGTCTCAACCAGCAAAATGTTTTTTGGGTTTTTTTGGAGGGAGATTAGCCCTGAGCTAACTACTGCCAGTCCTCTTTTTTGCTGAGGAAGCCTGGCTGAGCTAACATCCGTGCCCATCTTCCTCTACTTTATATGTGGGATGTCTACCACAGCATGGCGTGCCAAGCAGTGCCATGTCCATACCCAGGATCCGAACCGGCGAACCCCGGGCCGCAGAGAAGCAGAACATGCGCACTTAACTGCTGTGCCACTGGGCAGGCCCCAGCAATAATTTTTTTAAGTGAAAAGAACAACAACAACAACAACAAAAATCAGAGCACATCATGAATAGTAAAGATAGGTACTGTTTTCTGAAGCTTTGTGTGTTTATACATATCCTTGGTCAAGATGTAAAACTTTGTTACTGTACGTCACAATCAAAAAGCCTGAAAGCCACTCTCTAAATAATTTATATCACCATCTTCCTATTCCCAACTCTGAATTCAGAATGTACTTAACAAACATTTGCTAAATGAACAGCTATTGCACTTAGAATAATTGCTCATCAATTAGCCATTTTCCCTTGTGGCATCTGTGTGCGCCTCCTTGATAATGACATTCCTTTCATTCTAATTCCACCAGCCTGTAATTCTCTTCACTATATCTTCAGCAGCTGGCAAGAGGCCTGGCACAGAGAAAATGCCCTGGAGTGCGGAAAGTCACATCCATCCACTTCTCTCCGCCACCGCCTTAATCCAAGCTACCACATCCCTCACCCAGAGAGGGTTTGCCTCTCCAATCCATTCTCCATCCAATAACTGAAGTGACCTTTTCAAAGTCCCAATCTAAGCATGTCACCACTCGCACTTACTACCCCCACAGGGGGGTTATAAGCCGCTTCCCAGGCTGCTCTTGGAAAACCAAAATTCTTCCCATGACCTACAAGCCCTAAGTGGGCTTTCCCCTGGCAACTCCTCCAGCTTGTTTCATACACTGCTCCCCCCATAAGCTGTGTTCCAACCACACTAGCCTCTTTCTCACCCTCAAACAGGAGGCTCTCCTGGATAGAAAACTTTTCCCTCTCCTCTTTGTCAAATCAGTTTTCTGATCTCAGCTCCATATTCACTTGCTCAGTAAGGCTCCTGGACCTGGGGCTGGGTCAAGTCTCCTGTGATACACTCTCAGGGGGCCCTGTACCTTTCCATCGCACTTATCACGGATTTTACGTGTTTAACAGAAGGCTGTCACCTCCACGAGAATTGAGTCTTTCTGTATCTCTAGCACATATCAGATGCCTGATAACCATTTCTATAACAAAAGCGTGATATCCCTTTCGGAGATGACAAAGGCCCGGTTCGGGGAAACATCTCACCCAAAGTTACAGAGAGTAGGACAAAACCAGGTCAAGCGGAGCCAAGGTCTCCAGCCCCCAGGGTCTAAAGTTAGGAGAGAAGCGAAGTTACCCCGGGTGCCCCTGGAAGTCCTCGCCACGGTGTCTCTGGTGACGGTTTCTCAGCGCGAAAGGCCTGCAGAGACACCAGGGTCCCACCGCCGGCGCACAGACCGGGAGGCGGCCCGCACAGAGAGGTGTCCTAGTTCAGGGCACTCCGTGTTCCCGAGCCAGAAAGAGCGGCAGCTGGGCCACACCGACAACGAAACCAGAGGAGTTAAAAGCGGGCAGGAAGCCGCACTCACCGACTTCGGTCTTGCCCCACGCTCAGCTACCACGGAAGCGCACCGGAAGTTCTCCGACTCAGGCGCCGGACGGGAGCGACGAAGAAAGCAGCCCGGCAGAGTTCTCGGTCGCGGGAGGAACGGTCCCTGCCTGCAGGTTCCGCCCCGTCAAATGTTGCGTCTTGCTACTTTCAGTTATTCGTTTTAGTTCCTGAACCGTGGATAACAACTTTCATCAAATGATGCATTTTTATATCCAGCTCCAGAAACATATCCACCAGCCATGGTTCTTGGGTCTCAATCAGTCACGGTCACTGAAGCTGGGGTCAAGGTCTTGGCTGCCCAGTAGCCACAGTCAGATGCTCAGTCATGGTCCTGGTCAGCCAGTCTCTATCCGAGTGAAAGTATCACAGCTGGCCCGTTATCACCCGGTCCCGGCTTCCAACAACTCTCAGCCCTAGGGGAGAGCCTCTGAAACCCAGTCCCCAGCCCAGAGAGAACCAGACTCAGCAACCGAAGTCACACATTGGTCCCTCCAGCCACCATCACCCAGTGTTCTCTGGCAGCCCAGGCCTAGTATGATCTCTCAGTCAGGCTATAAATGCACCCGGAGGGAGGGAAGTCTACCTTGTTCTCCATCGTTTCCCTGGAACCTAACACAAAGCCAGGCACAAAGGCTCAGCTCAGTATATATATTATTCATTTAATTAATGGCAGTAATTTGGTATTAATAAATGGCTTCTATTTTTGGGCCTAGCCCTGTGCTGGGTGGTTGTATCAGTCAGGGTTCCAGCAAAGAAGCAGAGCCAACAGGAGATATATAAGAGATTTATTGCAAGGAATTGGCTTATGTGATTGTGAGGGCTGGCTAAGCATGTCCAAAATCCTTGGGCAGGCCACACTGGTATATGATTTCTAATCCTTACACTAACCCTCATAAGTAGGCAGTAGTATTCCGAACATACAGAAGAGAAAACTGACGCTCAGCGAGGTTACACAGGCAGAGTGGTGGAGTTAGAATCCAAACCAAGGCCTGACTGGCTGTTTTTCTCCCTGTGCTGCTGCTCCTTAGCTTGTCTGTCACACTTCCTCAGGGACAGCTGGACATGCCAATCTGTCTCAGTCAAAATTCATCTGTTAGTGGGTTACAGACTAGACCAGGCCCTGCAGTCATGGTTAATCACAATGAGCTGCTGCAGGATTAACCAGAGACGGCCTCCATCAGTCACAGTCATGCGTGTCAATCTCAGCCTCTTGTGTCAGTTCCATTTCCTGCATGAAGCTCAGCTCCCTCTCCACCCCTCCCCATCGTGCCCTCAGCTCTGTGGTCAGGTTTCAGAGCTCTCTGTTCCAGCTGGGCTCACCATCTTCTCAGAGACTCCAGGGGACTGAACTATGGACTACAGCACAGAAGCTGTAGATGGTGGCCCAGGAACTGCACCTGGTGGGCTGAATGTCCATCCAGATTCAGTTTCTCAACCTTGGTACTATTGACGCTTGAGGCCAGGTAATTCATTGTTGTAGAGGGCTGCCCCATGCATTGTAGGATGTTTAGCAGCATCCCTGGCCTCTACCTGCTAAATGCCAGCAGCACCTCTCAGTTGAGACAACCAAAAACACTTCTAGACATTGCTAAGTGTTCCCTGGGGGACAAAATCCTCCAGTTGAGAACCACTGATCTAGATGAACCAGCCTTAGGTTACTCCCAAACATCTCAGCTCTGTATTTATGGGAGACATAGATGCAGATCCAATGTTTGCAAACCAAGTCCTATTCCAGAACCCCAGGCATGAGCTAGCTAAAGGAAACCTACAGGGAAAATTCAGGGAAGGATCACAAAGCTTCCGGAAGCAATTGCCTCTGACAGTGGACAGGAGTCTGGAGAGGGTTGAGGAATGGCTTTCACTGCACAGCATTTTGTATCATTTAATAAATTACCTTTAAAAAGAAAATATTGAATTTCTATATGAATTTCTAATATGAAATTACAGGGAAATGCTCAGGATTTGTTTTAAAAAGCACTTAGAATGGTATGTACAACAACCTCTGAAAAGATACATATATGTAGAAAAAGACTGGAAGAAAATGCACATTATTAGCAGTGATTCTCACGTGTAAGATTTTGGGCAATAAAGAAAGGTGGTCTAAGGCGAGTTGCTTAGTAGAATAAAAAGGAAAGTGTGGTACATGCACCTCAGGTAGTCCAAGGGATGAGCTTAAGTTTTACATAGATTATAGGTTTTTAATTTTAATGTTTGCATTTATTTTTATGAAGACCCCTTTTCTTTGGCAAGTGACACTAGTTTTCCATTTCCTTTTTAAATAAACTTGTGTTTGTTTTACAGAGTCAATTTAAAGAAAAATGATGTCAATAATGGGATAGGTGGCATGCGCGGGGATACGGCAACATATGTGGAGGTACTTGGCAAAGGCTGAAGTTGAGGATTACCCACCAGGCTGCCGTGGAGGGGGCTGTAGGCAGAGACCCAATGTAGGTGCTCTTCTTTCCGGAAGGGGAAGACAGATCACATTGTTCCTCCTTCCTTCATGTTGTTCCTCTACACACCAAGCTCCTCTGTGTCCTGGAGCTCGCATGCTTACCGTTCCTTCTGCCTAGAATGCTCTTGCCCAAGTTCTTCACCTTACTGGATCTTTCTCTTCATCAGCTCAAAAATCACCTCCTCAGGGAGGCCATAAACCGCCACCTGATTTACAGTGGTCTCCTTCAGGGACCATCCCCTCCCCTTGTGCATTTCCTTTCTGGTGCTCATCACTCTGGAATTCTCTTGACTGCTTGCCTCTTTTGTCACCTGTTTCCTCCACTGGTCTGTGAGTTTCTGGAGGGCAGGGACTTTGTCTTATTTGCTGTTGTACCTGCAAAGCCTTAATGCAAGACTTGGACCACATTGGGAGCTGCAAATCTTTGGTGAATAAAAGTGTTCTAGGTTGGGATCTCTTTACCTCAGTTTTAGCCCCTCTTGTAATTCCAAGTTGTACCAGTAGCCAAGGTCAGAGAGAGACACCAAGGCAGTTTGTGGTTCAGCATCAAACACATTTATTTCACTTTTATTGAGTATACAAGAACAGAGAGCACACGCATACAGCACAGAGCACTGAGGTGGGGGAGCGTAGGGACCAGAGAGGAGAGAGGGGTGTGAGTAAAAAGGAACAGGACAGCATTGCAGTTGGTTGGTAAGGTGCTTTTGAAAAAAAAATTATTTAGAGTGATGTTGCTCATGCAATTTCAGGCCAGTCTTGGAATGTGCTTGCAAGATTCAAAAACTGAAACAGGTCCTGGCACTTCCTATACCCTCAGATGGAAAAGATCCCAAGAAAGCAAAATAAGAGAAAACGAAGATCTGTAGGATGGCAGAGTGGAAAAAGACCCTGGAGAGCATCTGCTTTATCCTGTTCATTTTGCAAGTGGGGAAACTGAGGCCCAAAAGGGGGGATGAGACTAGCCCAATGTCACATGGTATGTTAGGGGCTGAGCCAGGATGGCCACCCAGAATTCCTGACTGCCCTCCAGGAATTTTTCCACTATGCTACATGGTCTCCTGGGTGGAGAGGTGGCACAGAAAGGACGAGAAATGTAAAAAAGGAAAAGTAGGTTGAAGACAGAGAAGACAAACTTCTATATTCTCTATGAAGAGGAGGATGGGGAGGAAACAGTGCCCTAGATTTCAGTTGCAGCTCCCCTCCTCCCTGGTGGCACTGCCTGCCTCTCTATGGAAGGAAGGTCAGAGCACCCGTGGGATGGAGAGCTGCACAAATCCTGCCCCACAAGCTAAGCCTGGTCGCTTCATCCCTGCCCTGGAGCCACACACCCAGGGTCTGTAGGCAGGTGCAGAACCCAGAACAAATATTCTCCCTCTGAGGTGCATCCAGTGTGCTCAGGACACCTGGTTCCTGCAAGGACAGGGGTGCCTGAGACAAATTTCTGGGGGCCAGAGCGGGTGGATCCACTTCAGCTCTTGGCCCAGAAAGAATGGGGCTCTCAAGTTGAGAAGGGCAGGAAAGAGGTTTTGTGGCTTCTCTACCAGGGTTGTAAAAGAAACCTGGTGCGTGGAAAGCGTGCTGTCACACTCAGGGGAAGTTGGAGTGGGCCAGCAGCCTGCTCCAGGGGGTGTGGCTGACTGTGCCAGCTGAGCCCCAGGTGCAGGGCTGTTTCTGCCCGCTCTCCATTCCATTTTTGCCCACAGAGGCAAACACTTTTCTGGTTTCTTGTCCTGCCTCAGGTCAGCCAGCTAAGCATATACATCCCTAGGGTAACTGATATGCAAGCTGGGGCCGTCTGGGAGGCATCCCTGGGCAACGTCCAATACATTGGAGAGAATATGGAAATGCTCTCAGAGGGGCCAGCCGTGATTGGAGATGTAAGGCTGGCTCAGGGGACTTCCCAGGTCCCTCCCCACCCCTCACACTCTCTCTTCAGCCCAAGAATAGTGACTGCTACAAGTAGGTACTCAATAAACATTTGTTGAATGAATTTATTGACTGCTTTAGAAGCAGGCCTAGGGAGGTGAGACGGAACTGAGAAATTAAAGTGCAGTGGGGCCAAACTCCCTCAGAAAGGGACTCATTGAGCTCAGGGAAGTGGCTTGTGGCAGGGAAGCCCATGTGTGCCAGAGGTCAATGCCAAGCTTTTGTTGGGGTCTTCTCCAAGGGCTTCTGTGGTCTTGAGGCAATTTCTGGGACTCTGAGGGCACAGGCTTGGATGCTGACTGAAGGGGAGGTCTCCAAAGCGAGGGTCTTATACATAGATGGAGACTGAGCAACACTACCTTACACCCTTAGCTTGTTCTGGGAAAGGCAAAGCCTTTGGGAATACAGTTCTGACCTATCAGGGCCTGCCCTGTGTTCACCGTCTCTACCATGGCTGCTTTGGCCCAGGAAGAAGAGAATGATTCAGACAGAATACGGGAAGTAAAGGAAAAGACAGCTAGGAATTTTCGGACAGCCAGGTTAAATCCACCATCCTCTACGGCAGCCAGGGGTGTCAGCTCCCTTCGGATTGGAAGTTAGTTGTCACAATGCAGTCAGGGAAAGGCAAGACGTGGCAAAAAAAGAGAATGAGGCGAGTCCCCTAGGGAGGAAGGGGGACTGAGTCAGGGGATTTCTGCAGCAGAATCCTACTCTGGACCCCATGTCTGAGCACAGACCAGGCCCTGGTTGCTACTGCCCAGGGGGAGAAGGCATCTCAGACTACATCTGTGTTGCTTCCTTCTTGCCAAACCCCTGCCTCTGCATGGGGGGTCCCCGCCCCTCCCCACCAATCAACCAATTACAAACACCACACACTGTATTACTACACTGAACTGTCAGCTCCTACTGTGAGCCACCCACAGCCAGAGTCCTGGTCTCCTTGGCTGGGTCGGTTCAGTGAGATCTAGAAACCTTGGGATACATCAATCACAGTCAGATAGTTATAATTTTAAAATGTCAGCTTCATACTTACCAGCACTGTTTATTTCAATATTTGTTTCCTGTTATATGTAATATACATAACTTAAAAGCACATCCATACAAATCTCCTACAAGCTGCACCTTCATAATGAGAACCCATAAACATACAATGTCTACTTCCCTTCCTGTGGCTTGCTTTTCTGTTCTCGTTTTCTTTTCTCTTTCTCGTTTCAAATGACAGTCATCTGCAGTGGCCCTCAGCAGGGCCAGGATACAGAGGGTAAGGGGTGTGGGGTGCAGGAGAGGGAAGAGGGAACCGAGACAGAAAATGACGACAAGACGTGTGAGAGTCAAGGGGGAGGGGAGGCGGAAGGAAGGAAGGTGGATTTTGCAGCCCAGTGTCAAGACCCAAAAAATAATAATCCAGTGTTCCTCCTCCTCCTTTCCAAGTGGGGAATTTTCTTTCTTTCTCGGAAAACGGTTGACGGTGTGTGTTTTACTGCTGCGACTTCTCTTGCTTTGCTGCAAAAGTGTTTTCCTTTGCATTCGAGTGGGCAACAGATGCTGGAGAAGAACAAATGGAATGCTCATCCAACTAAATGTAACGTGCAGAACCAAGGTCTCATGGTACTTCTACAATCATCGCGGTCTGGCTTGTTCTCGTTGTTCTGCAGGGCTTCAAAGGGGGGAGCAAAGGATTATTGTCGTTATACTTTTTTTTTCCTGAAAAATCCCACCAATTCTTCAATTTGTCTGCAAAGGAAATGTAGGTGTTCAGATGTTGGTTGTTGCTGTCAGCCGAATGCTCGGCCAGCCCCAGCAGCAGTGCAAGGACGCGGTGTTTCCTGTATATATATCTATATCTATATATATCTATATATATATATGCTTTTCCTTTCCCAGTCTCTCATCAGTGACAGTATGTCGCAGCTGGGACGTCGGTGTTGAGTCGGAGAATTCAGAATGAAGGCCCCTTCTTAACGGTTCTCTGGCTTGGGTTGGACCAGAAATGCCAGCATCTCTTCACAGAGGTCAGGATTCCTGAAGCCAGAGGTGTAGGGGGAAGGGGACACAAAGGAAGGAGGGGGACAAGAAAAGTTAGTCACTTTTTGTCACTCATCTTTAAATACCTGCAGGAAGTTGTTTTAGATACCTTTACTGTGTGCGCTTTATTAGGGCTCAGGAAGACAGAGTGATTTGTCCAAGGCCACACAGCTTGTACGCGGCAGCTAAGAACTGAACCCACGGCTCTCTGACTCCAAAGCCTAGGTACACTTGCGTGTTTCTTTCCAGGGAGGCGGTATCTTTTACTTTGGCCTGAAAATTTGTCCAAGTTTCCTTTTAACACTGAGAATCTAAGATCACACTCCTTTCAGTTTTTCTTCCTACCTTCTCTCAGTTCTAAGAAATGTTTAGTTGTGATGGCAGATGTTCTTTTTCCGTTGTTTTTCCTTCTGATCTTCATGAGCCTGCTGTTTCCCAGGGATTAACCCCTAGAGAGCAGCGTTTAGATAAAGGAACCAGAGCCTGGATTCCCACTCTGGCTTGACTCCAGAATGTAGTGGTTAAGAGCGTGGGTTCTGTAACCAGGCTGCCTGAGTTCAAATCCCATTCCACGGCCTTATGGCTTGGTAATCTTGGGCGAGTTTCCCAACCTCTTTAGACCTTAGTTGCTCCCCCTGTAAAATGGGTCCTGCCTCACACAGTTATAAATTACTATTGTTCTTGTTAATTTAACCATACACTATTCTGATCTCATTGAGGGCAAGAGCTGTCTTTCCAGTGCCTAACACTGTGCCTGGCACATTGCAACTACCCCAAACTATTTAAAAGGTGGAATATCATGCCTGCCCTTTACCACTCACATATGGTCAAGTGCTAACAGAGTCGTAGAAACTCGATCCTTCTTGGCTTATTTGACAGATGGGAAAACTGAGGCCAGAGGGTTCAATGACTTAGCAAATTGGTGGCAGAAACAAGGCTAGAACTCAAGGCTCCTGCTTTGGAACAGGTCAATATTTTTTTTCCATTTAATTAAATTTTTGAAGGTAAGAAAGCTCTGGGAAGCTAGGTGGGTGCTGCCCTCTTGCTGGCAGTGTTTGGGAGACAAATCTTGTCTGAAGGAGACAGGCCAGTGAAAGAATATGGAGCAGAAGCCACACATCTGCCCTGTGAATTGCAGGGGGAGAAAAGAAAAGACTCTGTGTGAGATTGGTATGCTTTCCATACTCACAGCAAGACTTTTAAAGAGGAAAAACCTCCATAAGGAAGGCCAAGAGTCAAGTGGAACAGTGACAGACGTTCCTAGAGGATTCAGGGAGGGAAGAGAAGATAAAGACCAGCAAGATGGACACCCACGTGGAAACAGGGCCTTGTGCACCAGGCTGCTAGTGGAAGTTTATGGTCCAACTTACTCAGGGCTCTCATCAATCCCTAAAGATGGCAAAACTTTGAAAGACAAGGAAGCAGGTCCACACTGCTGGGCACCTTCTCTATGCATGACATTGCCCTGGTACATCACTTCTGTGCACTGAATGTTTGTGTCCCCCCAAAATTCACATGTTGAGGCCCTAATCCTCAAGGTGATGGTATTTGGAGGTGGGGTCTTTAGGATGTGCTCATAAATGGGATTGGTGCCCTTATATGAAGAGACATGAGAGAGATTCTCTCTCTCTCTGCTCTCCACCATTTGAGGACACCTAGAGAAGATGGTCGTCTGCAAACCAGAAAGGGGGTCTCACCAGGAACCCAAGTGGCTGGCACCCTGACCTTGGACTTCCCAGGCCCCATAACTATGAGAAATAAACGTGTGTTGTTTAAGCCACCCCGTCTATGATATTCTGTTATAGCACCCTGACTAAGACACTCACAGATGCTGTTTAATTATTACAGCAGCTCCAATTTACAGAGTGACCCCATTTTGTAGATGAGGAAACTGAGGCCCAGGGAGGTTCCTCTGGGCAGACTGCTAGCAAGGAGTTTCTGGCTCCAAAGCCTGGGTGTGTTCTTTCTACTCAGTTCTGCTACTTTTGAGGATTTTTTTTTCCTAGTGGCAGGCTGCACTTTAAGTGCCAGCCCTATAGGTCAGTGTAAACATGATTCTGGATGTGTGAAATGTCATCAAAAGCCTACAGACACTTCAGAAGTAACAGGGACATATAAACAATACCATATTATAATTTAACCTTCTTGGTTTATGACAGCAGAGTCCAACGTGCTGCATTTTGTGAGCCTACTTTAAGTTAACGGTAATAATAGTCATAACTAACTTTTGTTGAACACTTGCTATATGCCAGGCACTGTGCTGACTACAGTATGCATATAATTGCAGTGACGCTATGACACAGAGACTATGAAAGTCAGTGTGGTAAGGAGGGTAAGACCAGGGGGCAGCTTGGGAATCTGACAGATTAGGTTTTACTCTCTAATCAATCCAGCATGTTTCCAGCTCCACGACTGTGAGCAAGTCACCTAATGTCTCAGAGCCTCAGTTTCCTCATTTGTAAAATGAATGAGCAGATCACAGTACTCACATCGAGCACATAGCCTGGTGCCTGGTGCAGCATAAGCCTTCCATAAATTACAGCAATTGTTATTACTATGATCCTCACTGCCATTTGGCTGATGAGGAAGCATGGCTGAGAAGGTTAAATAACTTGCTCAAAGTCACACAGCTAATAACAGGCAGGGCTGAGATTCAAATCCAGGTCTGCAGGACCCTAGAACTCTTCCTGGGGGGACCAAGATGCATCCATCCATTAAGCCAACATTTTTCAAGCACTTTAAAAAGGTGTTTTCTAATTCAGAGCAGACCATTCTCCCAGAATTAGTGAGTCTGACTGTATTAGGACTCAGAGGTGGTTCCTACTTGGCAATAACTAATGGTAAAGTATGTGGGCAGAAAAGGCAAAGGAGAAACTTCTGTCTCTCCAGGGCAACATAAACAAGGTGACCTTTACAGAGGATCTGAGGGGGGGGGGGGGGAGCATGGTGGTGCGTGGGACAATGGCATCAAAGAAATAACGAGGAGGGAATGAGACAGCAAAGGGAGCAGTGAGGTGGGCAGACGTGAAAGACTGTATGGTGGAGAGGTGGGCAGGATGTGGAGGCTGGGATGAGAGCTCTGAATGGCCAGGGAAAATGGGAAGGCAGAAGCCTGGGGGTCTGGCTGGGAATGCTCCGGGAAAGATGAGGAGGAATGAGACAGGGAATGGAGAAGATATGAGAAGCTCACGACACTCTAGCAAAGCAAAGAAACAGCCAGAGGACTATAACTGGAAAGGGGCTTGTCCCATCTCTTCAATTTTGCAAATGTGGAAACTGAGTCCCCACAAGGCAAGAAACTGACCCATGGTCACAAACACGGTCAGTACAATGGCTGGGACTAGAGCCAGGTCCCAATTCCCAGCACAGAGTTCTCTGCATCAGTGGTTCCTGCACCTGGCTGCATATGGACTTCCTAAGGACCAAGGTATAAATAAAGATTCTCAGGTGTTGGCCCAGTGCTTCTAAATCAGACTTTACGGCAATGGTTCTCTAGTCTCTGTACTCCCCTGGTGATACTGCCAGCTCAGCACCAGCTTGTGTGACCTCCACTCTCCCACTCTGAGATCTGGGGGACAAAAAGCAAGAATAACTGGACAACTGAGGGGACAGGAATGACAATTTGCCTGAAAGGCTGAGGAAGGCTGGCAGGTAGGCTTGGCCCGTGACCAGCTTGCACTTCTAGACCAGCACTGTCCAACACAAATAGAATGCGAGCCACATATGGAATTTAAAATTTTCTAGATAACAAAATTTTTTGAGACAATATTTTCTAAATTTTCTAGATATTTCTAGTTTTCTAAAATTTCACAGGTAAATTTTTTTTTTTGAGGAAGATTAGCCCTGAGCTAACTGCTGCCAATCCTCCTCTTTTTGCTGAGGAAGACTGGCCCTGAGCTCACATCCATGCCCATCTTCCTCTACTTTATATGTGGGATTCCTACCACAGCATGGCGTGCCAAGTGGTGCCATGTCCACACCTGGGATCCAAACCGGCGAACCCTGGGCCGCCGAAGCGGAACGTGCAAACTTAACCGCTGTGCCACTGGGCTGGCCCCTCACAGATAAAAATTTTTAACTTCTACATTAAAATTCTAAGTTTTTAATTTACAGTAAAAACGAAAATAATAGGTGAAATTAATTTTAATAAGATATTTTACTTAACCCAAAATATCCATACATTATCATTTCCATATATAATCAATGTAAACATTATTGAGATATTTTACATTCTTTTTCCCAAATCAAATCTTCAAAATCTTGCACATATTCTACTCTTAAAGCACATCTCATTTCGGATTAGCCAATTTCAAGTGCTCAATAGCCACGTGTGGCTAGTGGCTCCTATATTGTACAACACAGAGAAAACATTTCCATTGTTGCAGAAAGTTCTCTTGGCAGCACTGGTCTAAACCAGGGTTTAGCAGCCTTTCAAAGTAGCGGGAAGATTTTTCACTGCTTTTTCTTCTGACATGAAGGGGGTGGTGATCAAAGGAAGAGAAAGAAATATTTTTGTATCTTTCTAGAAGACACTGGTTTCACTCATCAGGGAAGAGGGCAAAGAGATGACCTGCTATTGGTGGGGTCTCTGAGATGGATTTTTTTTCCTTGTAGTATAATATGTAAACCATGTAAAGTGCACAAATCTAAGTGTAGAGCCGGACACATTTTTACATATGTATCCACCCATGCGGCCCACCCAGTTGAGGATGCTGACATTTCCAGCACCCCAGAGGGTTCCCTTGTGACTCTTCCCTGTCAGTGCCATATCCCAGGACTACTCAATATTCTGACTTTAATCACTGTTGCTTAGTTTCGTCTGTTTTTGAACTTTCTATGAATGGACTCATCCTGTGTGTACTTTTTACGTCTGACTTCTTCCACTCAACTCGATGTCGGTGAGATTTTGTTTTACATGTCTGGCAAAATTCATATATTTCCAAAGGGGCCAGAAGAACCCCTCCCCAATTTAGGCTGATGCCAGGCCTATCTGCTGCTGCACCATCTCATTCCTCTTATTCACCAAGGCACTGATGGCCATAAGGAAAGAGGAAAATACTGGGGCCCCTAAGATTCTGGGCCCAGGTGGCCTGAGAAGGGTTTGCAATCTAGCAAGACAGATGGGATTCAAGGGCTCTGGTCATCATCTCTCAGCTTGGCAACATCCAGTGACCTGTGATGGAGACAGAGACTCAGGGACAGGAATGTGGCGCTAGACCTGGTAGGACTTTTTCTGGCTTCCAGCTTATAGGCAACGCCAATGAGGTTATGCTTGCTTCCATCTGTCCCACCTCAGTATCCGCAGTTAATCCTCTCTCCCCTTTTCTTACCATTTCTAGATTCACTTTTCTGGATCTGGGGCTTGAAACCCCAAAGAAGCCAAGGAACCAGTCTCCCTTCCCCTCCAGACTCTGATTCACTGTATCTAGGGGAGCTACCTCTCTCCTTTAAGCCACAAACGAGGAAGGTGTGTGTGGGAGGGTCAGTGCCGCACTAGGGACCAAGCCATCTGATGGGTTCTCAGATGGAAACGACCCAAGCGGATCCTGCTCCTGCTCCCTCCTCCCCCTCATGGCTGCTGAGCCTCAGAAGGCTTACCTGTGGCTTCTTGTCCCTCTCCTCTGGGGATGGGTCTGTTTCTCTATATACGACAGCTTTGGTTACCAGCATGTCAGGATGCTGCAGTTTGGCCTCCTTGATGGCCAAAGCCAGGGCCTGGTGAAAAAGAAAAGCAGACTGAGGAACTATAGATATCGAATACGGGAGAGACCATGGAGACCAACAAGCCCCTTAGTGCACAGCTGAGGAAACGGAGGCCCAGAGAGGGGCAGTAGTCAAATAATAAAAGGGAGAGACTAGAGCTCAGGTCTTCTGCCTCCTTCTGGCTCCCATTCATTGCCCCTTCCCTGGGAGCTCCTTGTCTGGACAGCGTCAGCAGGAAGTGGACATCATCTCTGCCCACAAGGGCAGCTGTCCACAGATAACCCAATATGGGAGGGACTGGGGATTGGCAGTGCCACTGGGAACAACAATCCCTATCCCCATACCTGGTCTTGATCAACATCTTCGTCCCCAGTAATGATGATTCGCTTCTCGATCCTTGTCTCAGAAAACCCTCCTTTCACAGTCTGCAGAAGGAGAGGGAGGTGAGGTCAGCCTTGGGGTCTGCTGGGGCAGCAGCTGTGGCAGGGCAGCTATCCAAAGCATCTCTCAAGGGCAAGGCCGGAGTCGGCAGTCATCTTGTCTCCTGGCTCCCTTAGTTTTTCTTTTTCTGGTTTTGGGACTTCAGACTGCATGTCCTGCCTGTCTGCCTCCACTCCCTCAACTACCAGACTGTCCCCTCCAGGTCTTCCAAGCCCAGCTCAAATGCTGTCTCCCTGACCTGGCGATCCTTCCGCCTTCCTGCCTCAGTACTCTCCGAGCACCAAGTTTGTGTCTCTCAGGGTTCTGGTCTCTCTTCCCTTACTGACCTTGTGTGTGTGACCTGGCCTTGCTCACTAGGCTGGAGCTCTTGAGGGCAGGGGCTGTCTTTTGTTCATCTCTGGATCCCCAATTCCCCCAGTCCCCTGTCCAACCTGACCAGGGCAGGCGCTAAATGTGGATTTGTTGAATGAACACATGAATGAAATGTGAATGGTGACAAGGTCCTACCTTAAATGACTTCAAACAAAACTACAAGAGAAAATTGCATTCATGACACTATAACCTCCACTGTTCCCCAAAGGGTCAGGGTTTGGGTGCAAGTTTAGAAGTAGAAGATGGGGCAGGACCTAATTGTGGGGCATACTGAAGGAGGGTGGTGGCTGAGGGAAGTCCCTGCTGGAGTCAGGAGTGGACAGAAAGCAGGGCGGGGCTCCCAGCTGGCAGGGTCAGGAAAGGCTTTGCAAAGCAGAGTTATCTGATCTGTGTGTGGTGGGGCGTGTGATGGAAAATCTTCCCGTGAAGCTTTCAGTGAAGCCAGCATTGCTCACTAATGCTTTTGGTGAGAGTGGGCACTTTCTGGGGAACGTGCAGAGGTACTGAGTCCTGCACAGGAGTGGCAGGGCTGTGACAGCTCGTGTGCATACAGGGGCAGTGCTGACTACCGACTTCTCCCTTGATGGCTCTGCAGAACCTCCAACTCAACCCGGCTCCCTGGCCTCTCTCCTCCAGGTCACTGTCCCTGGCCTAGCCCCTCCCTGCCTTCCTGCTGGCCACTCGGGTGTGGACATGCTGGCCAGACTGTCTGCCCTGTGTCCTCATTGGCTGAGTCACGGCTGACATGTCAGCCTTCTTTGGCTCTGCCTCTTCCACCCCAGCTCCAACCCCTACCCTGGTCCAGCCCTCCATCCCTAGTCTCTCCATAACTCTCTCTCTCCTTTCTCCCATCTACCTGCACATCCTAGTGGACCTACACTCCTCTCCTTAAACCCCTTTTCACTGGGCCACTCCCCAATTAAAAAACCTTGACAGCTTTTCAATGGCTCTCAGACTTAGGCCCTCCCTTGTCACATTTGTTCTGGGATTTGTCTTATTTGTCTCTATTCTGCTTCCCCTACCCTGAGTCCAACCTAATTTCCCAAAGTTACGTTCCCTGCATGCTGCCGCTTGCTGACAGAGACTGCTTCTCCTGTTTCCCACAACATGCATCGCTATGGTCCCTCTAGTTGCCCCTGGCACAGAGGCCAGCATAAGGTTGACACTCACTAACATTTGCTTGGTGAACGAATAAGCAAACACAGGCAGTTTCTGCCACACTTTCTGAGTTGCTTAGAACATCTGCATCTGTCTTCTCCTCCCTCACAAGTCCTACCTGGCTTTCCAAGACCCTGTGCAAACCCCACTTTTCCCAGAAGTCTCCTCCTCACTTTTTGAGCCTTCCTTACATCAGCCCCCTCTAAATCCCTCCAGCACTTAAGGCGTACGAGGCAGAAACGCCATGATTCACAGTTACTTCCAAAGAGGTGGTTCCCCCAGCCTGGTTGTCAATGTTGAAGGGCACTGTGTGTAGGACACACAGAGTCTGTGCTTAGGACAATCTGTAGCACAGAGCAAAGCACACAGCACTCCAGAAACTGGGAACACCGCAGTTCTTCTCTGTCCATGTTACAAGGTAGAGCAATGGCAATGACCTTCTCCAGCCCTGCATCCAGGCTGGGGGCATGCGGCACCCTGCTGCTACTCACTTTGGTAACATGGGTGGTGGTGGAGGTGGAGAGGGTTTCCGCGGTGGCGCTGTAGGTGCTGGTGAGGACATCTTTCCCGATGATCTGCAGAATATAACCACCCCCCACCCCGGGGGTCAGTGAGGACACTGGGCTCTGCAGGGTGGGGTGAAGGTGCGGTAAACCAAGGAACGAGTAGGGATCCCATGAAGGTGAAGTTTGGAAGCCAAGATGCTTCGAACCACTGAGTCTAAGAATTCAGGAATACTGGAACCTTCAGAATGCTAGACCCACAAAATTCTCAATCCTTGGACTCTAAGATTCCTAGAACCCGAGATTCCTGAGGCCCAGAATCCTACTAAGACCCTAGAGTTTAAGAATTCTGGCATCTTAGAAGAACAAACAGAGGATCCAAGGTGGAAATAGAGCCCTCCTGATCCTCCATCCTATCAGAGCCAGGGCTGGATGATGAGAAGGACAGACTTGGAGAATGTGGGAGCTGCAAGAGACCTCACAGTGACAGACTCAGTCTCATGGGACAGCCACTGGCAGAGCCAGGCCCCGACTCCAAGCCTCTGGACTCTTAGTGCATTGCTCCTCCTGGTCAGTAAGGAGAGCAGATGTAAAAGAGCCGTCATATCACAGGCACACCACGCGGAGGGGCCACTTCACCCTCACGCTGCTAATGCCCTGCTTGTGTGTGTGGAGTGGAGGGCAATGGACGAGACTCTGGTGGGCACCGGGGAGCCCTGTGAGCATCTGAAAATGATGCAGTTTCCCGGTGCTGCACTTTTAGGGCAGCCTCCTGGACTCTATGCTGCACTTGCTGTGGGCCACCTACGGCAGCGTGGAGTCCCCTAGCCTGAGCTGGCCCTGACCACTTACCGGAGAAAGAGAACGGATTTCCGTGGCCACCGTCTGTGGGCCTGGGATCATGGCAGCTGCCCCCTTCCCGGACTTGACACTGTTCTCCTGGGGAAACAATAGTGCTCAGATGGCCAGGTCTCAGGTGGGCGGGCCCCCAGGATGGCCGGTGCATGTGGCCACATAGCTCTCATGGCCACAAGGTTGAGTGGTGACATTAGAAGCAGAGAGCTGAAGGCATCATTCAGTTCAGTCTCCTCTCACTTGTCACCCACTCACTCACATATTTACACACTTCCTCATACACTCACTCATTCAACAAACATTTACCGAGTGCCTGGCATTAGGGACACTGTGGTGAACAAGACATGGTATCGCTCTCTGGAAGCACTAACAAAGGAAGGAGCTGAGACATTCAGGTTCTCCTCTCGTCCCTGCCACGTCCTAGCCACATGACCTGGGGGCAGAGCCACCTCCACTCTCTGGGCCTCATGGATTCACCTATGGAAAGGGACCCCTGTAATGTAGGTTCATCAACGGTAACACACGTCCCACTCCAGTGGGGGATGCTGATAATGGGGGAAGACTATGCACATATGGGGGCAGGGGGTATATCGGAAATCTCTGCATGTCCCTCTTAATTTTGTTGTGAACCTAAAACTGCTTTAAAAAAAATAAAGCCTTAAAATTTTTTTTTTGAAAAAGGGATCACTACCCCACTCCCAGATGAGGCTAACAGAGGAGAAAGGACTTTGCAAATAGAAATCCGTAGGATAAATATAGGAGTATAGGCTGGCTATTGACATCATAATAACTACTGTTTTCTGAGTACTTGCTAGGCGCTAGGTATTATGCTAAGGATGTATTATCTCACTTCATCCTCAGAACAACTGCAGGAAATTGTTCTGATAGTCCTGTTTTACAGTTGAGAAGCCAGAGGGCCAAAGATACTAAGTGGCTTGCCCAAGTCCCCCTGCAAGTTAGTGACAGAGCCTGGATTTAGATCCATGTTCGTCAGACTCCAAGTCCAACACGCTCCTGCAACACCACTCTGCCCTCGGGATTCTTGCCCCTGAGGCAGCTCTCCTGGTCCTAACTTGGATTCTAACTGCTAGATATTCCTGGAATTGGCCCTGGACTTACTGGCCCACATCTGGGAAGGGGCCTGGCTGCCCGCCTCTACCTCCCACTTTCTGCACCATCTCAGGGCTCAGCCTAGTCTGTCCAGGGGCCCAGAGCTGTGTCCATTCTCCAGCTCCCCAGATACTAGATCTGGATCTCTGCCTGCCAGGAGATAGGTGAGGACAGAAACCCTCTGCCTTGCCCCTGCCTACCTCCGATACCTGCCTCAAGCAAAAGCAGTCAGTGACCTGGTTAACCTGGCATCCCAGCTTCGGAAAGAGCCACTAGCCCCTTGAATCCTACTGTCACTCTTGGCCATTCTCCCCTGAAGCCTCTTCTTCTCCCAGTGCTCCCTCTTCCCCAGGCGAAGTCTCACTTCCACTTTCTCATTGAAAACAGAGGCTACTAATGGAGACACAAGTCTTTCAAAACAAGGTGCCATCTGCTCCATCTGACTCTCCTGTATCTTTGGCCAGTCCTCTCTCCTGCCTCAAGGAGGAGCAGCTCCTCTCCTGGCCAAGGCAATGCCACCATTGCCACTCTGGACCCTTCCTCCTGTGTACTCAGGGCTCTCCTCTCTTGCTACCCTCTCTCTGGGCCCCCTCAGACACTCAAGCCTTCTGCTGCCTCATCGAGGACATTGTCCCCTTTATCTGTAGCCCAGATCTTTCTCGAACCTTAGACCTTTACAACCAATTGTCTCCTAGCATTTTCCCTTGGAAATATCCCACAGGCACCTTAGACTCATCAACTCCAAAATGGAATTCACTGCCCCCTCCCATCTCCCACACATACCTGCCACTAAGGAGCGCTCTCCTCCAGTGCTCTCCGTTTACATCAGTGCTTCCCAGACTTGGGGGCATCACTTGGAGGGCTTGTGAAACCACAGACTGCTGGACCCCGATGCAGAGTTTCTGAGTCAATAGGTCTCAGGTGGGGCCCAGAATTTGTCTAACAGGTTCCCAGGACCGCACTTTGAGAACAGCTGGGCTAGTGAGCAGCATCACCAGCCCATCTTTCCCTCTGTCACCTGAACATTCTATCAACAACCAAATCCTGCACTTTCCTCCCTCCAGGTATCCCTTAACCCGATCTCCCTCTTCAGCATCCACCTCCTCAGACTCTGGCCCTGCCCCAGCCCCTGAACTAGTTCTACCAAAGGCATGTGGGCTCAGGCCACTGTCTGTCTCCTTCAGGGCTGGATTCACAGTGCCTGGCACAGCACTTCACACGGCGGGGGTGTTCAATCAATACTTGCCAAAGGAGGGAAGGAGGGAGGAAAAGAGGGAAGGAAGGAATTTTTGCTCCAGTCATGTTCCACACAGGTTGCTAGAATAATCTTTCTAAAACACAGAAACACATGTTTGATGACATCATGCCCCTACTTAAAATATTGAAGTGATGCCCATTGTCTCCAGGATGAACTGTGAACTTCGAGGCCCTTCAAGCCCCGGCCCAGCCTTCCTTTCCAGCCTCTTCTCCCCCTGCTCCTTCTTCACACACTTGACATCTCTCTTCACTGACCACTTGCCTTCTCCCGAACACTATGCTTCTTCACATCCTTGCCTTTGCACCTGCTGTTGCCACTGCCTAGAATGCCTTCTCCTATGATTGCACCTTAATTTATCCTTCAAGCACAGCTCAACTGTCACTGCCTAGGTAAAGCCTTCCCTGGTCCCTCTTGGCAGGGGTGTCACCCCATACCTCTCCTCCCTTTGCTCCCTAGAGGGCATGATTACACTCTTCTATGAAGGCAGGAAAAAATAATAGCAGCTCACAGTTACAGAGTGCTCACTATGTGCCAAGCCCTCCTCTAAGGGCTTTGCATATATTTTCCTGGTTCATCTCACATCAACCCTTTGAGGGATGTGCTATCATTGTCCCCCCATCCCATTTTACAGAAGTGGAAACTGAGGCTTGGAGAGGTTCAGGTAACTTGCCCAGGGTCATCCAGCCAGCAAGTGGGAGAGCTGGGCCTTGTTCACCACTGTGTGCCCAGGACCTAAACAATTAAATGTGCCTGTGATTATTATTTGGATGAATGAATTCTAGCAGGCAGTGTGTTTTCTTTGACTCTGTATCCCCCTACTGGGCAGATTAGTAGAGACTAATAAATCTTTTTTGGAACAAATGAATGGATGGATGGATGGATGGGTAAATGAATGACATAACTACCTACTCACCATAGCACAAATTTAAATTTAGCCCTACAAGCATCCCAATGCCACGCCATAAAGGATTGAAGAGAGAGGAGGAACTGATCGACCAGTGAAAAGTGTGTGAGCTGCTAACTGGTTTGGCTTTATTTGTCTTAAAATCTCTGTTTACCCAAAACCTACCTGCTGGGTAGTCTAAATTAATGTAATTCTCTTCCTATGTGTATATCAGGGGTTTGGCAAGAGAAAGCATTTGAAAACAGCTTCCCAACAGCTTGAGACAGATTCTGCCCGGGCCCTGATACCTGTCCCTGCCCCAGCCCCAGCCTCAGCCCCACACGGCAGCTGGTGTTCACAATGGTCAGGGTGAGGGAGCAGAGCAGAGTAGTTGAGATGGATAGTGGGGCTTCTGGAGTCAGAATGCCTGGGTTTGACCTGGCACTACCACTTATTGGTTGTGTGACCTTGGGGAACTCACTTTACCTCTCTGAACTTCGGCTTCCTCATTTGTAAAAGGTGGAGAAAAAAAGAGCACCCGCCTCACATTTTTTGTGAGGACCAAATGAGATCATCCATTCAAGGTTCTCAGCACACTGCCTGGCAGCAAAACCTGTGTGCCAAATGCTATCCACTCTATGTCATCCTTAAAGGATCTGATGTTACTGGACTCTCTCAAGAACCTGTGAACCAGGCAGAACGGGGATTATTCCAATTTTACAGATGAGGACACTGAGGCCAAGGACCTTCCTCCATGGGTCAGACAGCAAACAGGTAGCAGACCCACAGGGTCCCTTGGGAGATGGTCCAAAATCCTGAGCTTCCAACTTAGGGTCACTACACGCCAGCTACCGACCAAAGCAAGGAAGTGGCCCCAGACACAAGAACATGATGGGTCTTCAGGAAGGACTTTCAGGCACAATCCTCATGTGTTGTCAATAATCAAATACCACCACCCTCCCTCTAGCCTTGCCGTGGCTGAGATGACTCAGATAACCAAGACTCAGCGATTCCACCTCTCACGTTATACATTTTGGAAAACTGACGTCTGACTGGACATCCTGTGACAACTACGGTACCAAATAATAAAAGTTTAACTGTATGTCTCCTGCCAGATGCAGTGAGGCCAGATGAGGATTTCCTGTGGGTTGTTAGCTTGTGTCTGGCCCTTTCAGGGGGCGAGGGGCTGGTCAGAGAGGGAAGCCTCCTGGGTCCTACTTACCATGGTGGTTGATATGGTCTCCGTGGTGATGGAGGGAGTGGTTGGCATGAACTCCTTCCCCCCTGGGGCAGTGCCATCAACCTGCCAGCCAGAGGAGGAGTCATTAGAGAGAAATAGAGAATGTGCCAGACACACCTGCAGCATCCGTTGCCTGAGCTCGTGGCATTCCCAGTCACAAGGAGACAGGCTGTGTGAGTGAACACGCACTCAGGGCGGGGGGCGGTCCACACACAGCCCAAATTACAGAGGGGCCTCACAGGTCCTCCAGCCTATTTCAATCATCTTATTTGACAAAGGAAAAATAATCCCAGACAATTGAACAAATTCTATCTGAACTCCAATGCATGTATTCTTTGACCTAGTGATCTCATGGCTAGGAATTCAACCTTTGGATATAAACTTTGAAAACTTTGCCAAGAAGTATGAATAAGAAAGCTCACTGCAGCACTCATCATTAACTGTAAAAGACAAAGACGACCACAGGTCCATCAGTGGGAGATGGCAAGATAAACGAGGACCCACCTCCCAAGGGGGATAAGAAGAGTAAGTTTGGTCCTTACACGCCAGCATGGGGTGATCACCAAGATAATTATTTTTAAAAAGTGAGGTATAAAAGAGAACCATCTCTTGTGAGTAAAATTTTTAAATGTCTAGAGATGTAAGTATATATGTTGGTATACCCATAAACTTTTTTCTGGGAGGAATCACAAGAAAAATTTCATTTTGTTCTATTTGAATTTCATAACAGTGAACTTTTTTTCTTGTTTTGTTTTGATGTCAATAAAGATTACAGGGCTGTGGGATTTGGGGCTATTTTTAGTTTTCTTTATACTTCTCTGTATGAAAACAAAACACACGTTACTAAAACACAACAGGCCAGAGAGGGAAAGCAGCTTGCCCGAGGTCACACAGCTCATCAGAAGTTGAAGAGTCTTGACCGCTACACTAACAGCCTCATAAACCCATATAAATGTTATAAAAGTGAAAGAAAAAAATTCTGGAAATGACAGAGTAGCCCAAATTACGTTGGTTTATGTCTTACTTTAGTTCTTGAGACAAAGACTGGTCTCCAGGGCAAGAAAGCCCCAGGACTGCAGCTCTTCTGGCCAGGAAGAGTCAAGAGGTCATCGATCAGACCCACAATCTCAACTTTCAAAGTTTAAAAACCACAAAAGGAACTTAGGAAATGTACTATACACAGTACACCTGTGTCTATTTATGACAGCTTTCTCTAGGGTACCAAGTATGTTTCATCGTGCTAAGACAAACAATTTTTTCTTTTTTTCACCTCGTTCATTTGCCAATCTGATGTGGAACCCCCATGCATAAAAAAATGATCCAGTGTGAGCCATTCTGCCTAAAGCTAGATTGGACTCTCTCCCTTGTCTCTCCCAAAGCAGCCCCTGGGACACCTCAAGAAACCTCTCTAACTCCTTCAAGCAAACTGAAAGCCATGATCTAATCCACTAGCCATTAGTCCTAAAAACACTCTGAGGAGGATGGGGGAGACACGATCATCCTCATTTTATAGATGGGAAAATGGAGGCTTTAAGAGGTGTGGCCTGCCCGGGACAGGAACCCATTACACGGCCCACTCCCAGAGCTCAGCGAGGACAGTGAAGCTCAGGACAGCATCATGGTTAAACGGGAGCTCCAGGTGAGCAAAGTGGCATGGGTTGGCCAAGGGGCTTGGCCATGGTGGAGACCCCAGCCCCAAATGCCCAATACCTATGCTCAGGGAACACTGGAAGGCACAGGTTACCTGGCTGGTGTCCACAGTGCTGACTCTGGTCTGCAGTACAGCCTCCGGCTCGATCTTCTTCCTGATGGCCAGGCTGCTGACAGTCATGGTTTCCGTTTTCACAGGCTGTAGGGAGACGAGCAAGAACACTCCATAACTCAAGCCCCATTATGACTCCTGCTCACAGGCAACTGTGGTGTAGGGTCAGCAAGTTATCTCCCACCCCTGCAGCTGGCCAAGTCTGGAAGGGTATGCAGGTCAGGGCAAAAGAGGCATGGTGAGATGTCATAGACAAACAGCCCAAGATGGGGGTAGCCAGAACCACCCGCAGCACCTAGACAGGCCTGCCCATGACCCTGCAACCACAGAACCTCCTGATGGCTACATGCTGTCTTTTAGGCTACCATTAAAAGAACATCTACTATTCAATTAACATGCTCTGTGCTGGGCCCTACACTCAGTATTCTCCTTATGTACATAATGTCACTAAATCCTGAATGACTTCAATGGTTATGCCACCACCTCCCACTGGCTCCATTTGAACTATTCTTTAGAGCAAGAGTCATACACCTCGCAGCCTACAGGGGCCAGGCAGGAGATGTAAACAAGTAAAGTGGGTTTGTTGGGGACTGGGATGAACAGGAGAGCACATGGGGTTCCACTCAGGTTTGGCCAGTGGTGGCCATGGCCTCTGAGTGACTGGATCATCTGATTTTTTAAAATGATACAAAGATTCAAAAATTCCTGGGTTTTATATTTAATGTCCTGATTTTTAAAACAAGGTCAAAGAAAACCTCTGGTAGCCAGATCTGGCCTGGGTCCACAAGTTTACAACCTCTACTCTGAAGTCTTAAATTAAATGATCCGTTTCTTCTGAGCCCTAGTTCATGGCTATACACACAGCAAATATTAACATATGTGAACTGAACGAATGAACACAAGCTAGCTTGTCATCTGGCTGGGAAGGTGAGAGGGGATTCTTATAGATAGCTGTAACCCTAAGACCCAGCCATTCATTCAATTAATCATCTCTTAGTGCCTGGTATGTGCAGGCTTTGAGAAGCTGCCACCTGGTAGGAGAGCAGACTTGTCAACCACTAACCTGACTGTCTGGGATAATGGTGGGAGCAGAGCACTACAGAGAAAAGGGGCTATGGAGGGAGCAATACTTCTGCCCAGGGCGGTCAGGAAGGTATTTGCTAGGGAAGTGATAGCTGAACTTAGTCCTGGAACATGACAAGTTTGCAAGTCAGAGAAAAGGAGGAAAAAAATCTATCCAGAGGGTATAGCACAGAGAGAAAGCCAGAGCGGATGAACTCCTATTTCAATGCCTGGAACATGGGGGAAAGGACAGTGCGGTGGGAGGGAGGCTGAGGCTGGAAGAGAAGAGGGAGCAAAGGAATAACATGAACAATGATCCTCTGACAGGAGGACACAGAGCAGAGAGGCCCAGACACAGTCTGTCCCTGTGTCCCACTCAGTGACATTTCCTCTTCTCTAGGAGTTTCCACTGCTACCCCAAGACCCCAGGGCCAGATGGATTTAGACTGCTGCCCCTTCCCCAGGAAGCCCAGGCCCCAGGGAGAGGAGCCTGAGCCAGGATCAGGAAAAACCATCCAACTTTCAGACCAGGCCGCAGGAGCCCCTGCGAGTCCATAAGCACATGCTCTCTGCAGGTGCCATGCAACGCAGGTAGGGAGCGGAGGAGTCGAGTAAGATTAGACTGACCTCAGGCAAGCGATAGGGTCACAGGGTTAAAATGCCAAGGAGTGCAAGTTAGGGGTAAACCGAGATGGCAAACATGCGGGCACAGAACCATGCTGTTCTGCAGAGGGGCAGTCATGCAACATGAGACCGAGCTTCAGGCTGAGGGACTCTGGGCTGCAGGCTGGTGGCTCAGTCTTCTCACAGATGGCCCAGGGCCCTCTGAACATGCAGTGCCCGGTGGGCCCGGGTCTTGACGAAGCTCCACTGTACCTCAAACTGGGGCATATCCAGGGTAGAGCAGGCCCCTCGATCCGGGCTGTCCTCGATGCCCCCTGACTCGTCATCCTGACCAGGGCCCCCCTTGTTGAGATCCCGGGAGAACACCAGGCCCTCAGGTTCCGAGTCGCTTTTGTCTCGGTCGAGCTCAGGCAGGCTGCGGGAGAAGTCTTCGAAGGCGCTGCCATGGTAGTCACCAATGACTGTGAAGTCGACCTCAGCCTCCAGGCTGGACGTGGAGCTGACTGTGATGCTGGAGCACTTGCGCTCAATGGCCAGGTGGTTGTCCTTCAGGAACACTGCGTCCCTCTCCTGGTCTTGGTCCTCATCTCCTGTGTCACTCTCTGGGGCCTTGGGACGTGGTGGTTTGACTTTCTCCTCTGAGCCCTCCCTCAGCCCTGCTCTCTATGGCCAGATAAAATCAAAGGAATGGGGTACGGGGTAGGGAGAGAGAGAAAGAGAGAGAGAAGTCAAGATGGTGAATGACAGAAGAAATCTTGGGGCCATGTCGATGTCCCAAATGGAAGAGCAGGTCAGGAAACGAAAAACACCCCAGAGGGTTCCTTGACATCCAAACAAACTTAAAAAAAAACGAAAACTTCTCAAGAGTGGGGGCGCTCTTTTCCGAGGGTCTCCTACTGATGGCAAAAGCAAGTACAAAGCAAACATCCTGCCAGTTGGTCCTGGACAGGAGGCCCCATCCAAGGTTTGGATCTGGGAACTTATCAGAAGCAGCACTGTGCGCAAGGCAGGGATGGGAGCCCAGACCCCAGGCCCACCCGTGCAGGCCAACATCGAGAGACAGAAACCAAGGAGGGAGACCCAGGGATCAGGGAAACCCAGGAGGGGGAGGCAGAGAGGCTGGAGCCAAGAGCTTTGAGGAACAAAGAGGAAGCCAACATGGTTTTGTCAATTCCACTGAGTCTCTGTGGGAAGGGTCAGCATCGTCTAGAGGGAGGAACAATACGGGGTAATTCCTGGGAGCTGGGTGCTACATCGGTTCAACCCTGAGCTCCATGAGTGGGCTGGCAGGCAGGCCACGGAGTGGAGGTTATGGTCCCATCAGTGTAATTGACAACAGCAGGCCAGGGAAATGCTGGAGGGGAGCCAGCAACTCTTGTCCGACATACATACCTCTCAACTGGCCTGTCAGGGATTAAACAACACATGTACATTTTTGGCTGTTTCATGACATTCTTTTTTAAGACCAATCTAACACCCACCAAATATTTTTAAAGTACTTGGCTTCAGGTTCTAGAGATTCAGTGTGCTTAGAGATTCACTTGCTAAATGAGCCTCCATTTAGCCAGTTTCTGGAAGGTTGAGAGGTGTGAGGAAACATTCCAGACAAGCCAGAGTTGAGCTGCCACAAGAGGCACTGCCAGAGCAGGTGGGGATCTAAGGCAGCGATGCACCCTGGCCAGGCGAAGATGACCGGGTCATCAGGGCACCGAGGGGCTGCAGAGACCTGAGGGCCCGAGGGGCTGGTGCATCTCAGGCGCCCTCCCTTTCCAGAGGGGTTCGCTGCTAAGCTGGTGACTCGCTTCTCTTCCCTGACTGCATCTCCGGATTTGTTCTGGATTAGAGAAGATAGTTAGTCTTAAGGAGGCAGAAGGAACTTGGCACTGGGATCAAGAGGGAAACAGAAGTGAAGGATGGAAATCTCTGGACTGTCAGCTTTCCCAAGGCAGGAGAACCAGGGAAGGGAAAGGATGAAGGAAGATCGCTGGACAAGCCAAGCAAAACAGGTAGGAACCCAGCAGGTGGGGACAGCAAGGCAAAGCAAGTGTGTAGTTTGCTGGCAGTGGTGCCACCTTTTCCACTGGGGCTGTGTGACCCTCTGGGCACCAGGTCACACCAAAAGCCGAGGGTCTTTGTGGCTAAGCTAACATGGGCCAAGCAGATGAACCCATCATTCTGCCTGGAATACACTCAGGCCCGTTTAGGGAAAAGAACTCATAGGGATGGACAAGCAGCCTCTGATTGCAATAATGACGAGGGGCCACTGAAACATGCTTCTACAGAGCTACGCAGCATGCGGTCAGCTCCCCCGGCTGGAGGGCAGTGGTGGGGGACAGGGTCTCACGTGGCCAGTTCCCCCAGTAACTTCTTCCAGCGTAGTTTCACAGCCTGAATCGGGGGACACGAGCTGGAGTTCCATGCCTCCTTCCTGGGGAGATACGGCAGGAATGCCCTGCCTGAAGTGTCTGGTTGCTGGCTGTATCACCGAGGAATGTGTGGCTTTGGGGCCGGCAAAGTCCCCCGGGGGCTGGAGTTGGATAAAGCCCAGGTCTAAGAGCTTGTTCCGCTGCTGCTCCACCTGACCCGTGGAAGCCTCTGAAGACAACTCGTTTGGAAGAGCCCTTGTTTCACCTTGGCTCACTCGGCGAGTGGGTCTCACTCCATGGGTCTCAAAGATGCGAATTTTGTTGGCCACTGAGGTCTTGCTAATATCTTCTAGGGAGCCCTCTTGGCCCCCCGCCTGGAAAGAGGTCATCTCCTTTTGCTTCCCTGAAGGGAACACCAATCCCAGGGGTATGGCCCCCTCAGCTTCTTCAGGGACAACTCTGGGCTTTCTGCTGGCAATGGGAGGCGCTCGGCACTCCCCTCTGTCCGGGGTCACAAACAGCCCTACTTGGTCCTTGGGCTCCGGGCTTTCTTTGGGAGGATGGGCCTGTTTGAGAAACACAAGCGACTTTTCTCCAAAAGGATCCATGAGCTGCGAAGGATCTCCTGACTTATGAGGGGCTGGGCTTGGAGAAACTTCCTCTGGAGCTGCCTGAGCTTGAAAGGGACCTGGGGAGGCAGGGAGGTGGGTGATCACCTCCATCTGAAGAAATGCTGAGGCTCTGCTGTCCTCCATTGCAAGTTCTCCTGTTTGGGTGTGAACCAGTCCCCTGTCTTTGGGCAGGACGTCGCCTCTGTCTGGTTTAGCTGGCTTCCTGACATTGTCAGGAGAGATGGCCCATGGAAGGGCGCAGGCCGGGAGGTCTGGGTTCACGTGCCCTCCTCTGTGAGGGGAGTGATTCTTCCATCCCACTGGGGGGCTTTTTTCAGCCTTTTCCATCAAATCTCCACTCTTGGGGGCCTCTTCCTCTGAGGCCACGGTGGATGCTGAGTGAGTAAACTGTCCTTCTACCCCCCACCTGGCTTCTTCCCAGGCCTCAGCAAACGTCTGCCCTGGAGAAGTTTCCTTACTGAGCTGCTCAACAAAGGCCTCCAGGTCATCCAGTCTTCCGTGTTTCTTGGGAGGTCCTGCCCCTTCCTCTGAGGAAGGTGAGTGGACTTCATCCTCTTCACCAGTGTTCCTGCAGGAAACTGCAGCAGAGCCCCACGGGCCTGAGGAGTTTAGCTCAGAGCTCTCTGCGAGCTTCTCAGAGCGCTCTGGCCTGGTCTTATCTCCAGGAGAGGCATCCATGTGCTCTTCACTCTCCTCCAGGGGTGGAGGGAGGGCTTGGTCTTCAGAATCTTTCTCTCCATAGCTTAAATAGAAGCTCCTCTCTGCAAAGGAAGTATCAGTTTCATCACTGGAGTCAGCTCTGGCTTCCACGTCAGCTGGGTCCAGCAGAAATGACTGGAGTCCTCCCCTGTCAGAGGCTAGAGAGAGGCCATCCATCTCTGCTGGCCTGGTCCCTGGTGTACTGGGTCTTCCACCAGCCTGGAACTCCCCCAGCTCCTTCCTCAGCTCCGTCTGGCCCTCTTGCTGACCACCGGAGACATGGCGCATCCTGATGGTTGTCTCTCCAGTGCCCACTTGGAACCGGGAGCCCTCAAGGAGCTTTTCTGCCAGGGTATAGCCTACAGCCAGAGAAGCCCCTCCTGGGCCATCCCTGGCCCACAGGCCTTCCTCCCACACAGACTCAAAGTCTTCAGGGCTTGCAATCATTCTTCCTTGTTGCTGGGTGTTTGCTCTTCCAGCTCCCACCATTACTTCTGTGGCCACTTCAACTTTGAACTTGTCCACCAGGACGTCTACCTTGGAGAGTCTGCCATCAGCAAGGATATCTGTGAGGCCTGCCTCCCTTTCTTCCTGCTGCGTGGTAGTCATTTTTAGGAGACTGAGTTCTTCTGGCCTAGTGTACTCTCTTTCTATAAATACCCAATGCTCTGAACCCTGTGTTTCAATTGGAGCAAGAAGAGTTAACATAAATATCAGGCACCTAAAGAACGGGTCCCTTCTTCACTCTGCAAGGGACCAATCTACCACCAAAATGTCAACATGTCCCCAGAACTGGCTGGGAGAGGAAGGCATGACAATGCTAGTCAGCCTCATCTAGGCTACTTTTCCCATCAAGGCACCCAGCAATTATTTACGCCCCTCAATCACCACCCCAACTTGGTGAAATGGGATGGGGTCTCATGCCCTCCCGGTGTGAACCATGGGAAAATGGAGATCCACGGATAGGCAGGACTCTTTCTCTTCTAACAATATAACTGACACTGTCAGAGGGGAAAGTAGCTTACGTCACATGGAATCTTTGAATGTTAGAGCCAAAAGAACTCCTAAGACATCCTCCAGTCCAATCTCCTCATTGTGCAAATGGGTAAACTGAGGCCTGGAAGAAGGTCAGTGACTTACTCGAGGTCACAATGGATGGCAGAGTCAGGAAAAGACGGCCTGATTTTTGATGCCTGAGATCCTTGCTGACTTATCTCACAACCTATGGAATATGGGTCCCAACTGCAATCTGTCAAGTTGAGGGGAAGCACTGAGTTAAGTTCCACAGGCCACAGCCTGAAATCTGACCTTTCTGCAAGAGCTTCCGGGGAGGAAAGAGATTAGAATGAAAAATAACAAACGGCTAGCTCCAGAGGTTAGTGCCAGTCACCACAATGGCTTAAATAGCTTGCATCTTGTGGGGTTCATTCCCAAAGAAATAGATACCAAGGCTATCCTTGGAGAATTCTAACAAAATCTACAGAAAGAGTGGAAAAGGACTGACCAGAACACATCACGGAAGGAAAAGACCTAAAGATCCCAGCGTCATCATGGGTCAAAAGCACGCAACAGTATAGACTGTTGAACTGTCAACAGAATAGCCCTTTACCTCCCTCAAGAGCCCTTTGAACAACGCTAAGGAGGAAATGAGGGACTTCTAGAATCATTAAAAAAGCAAGAAGGCCATTGGGATTTTAATCTTCTTGCAGCCACAGAATACGTTCTCCACACAAAATCTTCTTGGAAGTCTAATAAGTAATACAAATACAGGGCTCCTCTGTTCAAGTTGGAGGCCTGGGCTGTGCTAGTGGCCTGAGGTACCTCCCCCCTTTGAAATCACTGCTCTGACGCAAACCCCCCATGATACAGATGTGGAAACTGAGGCCTAGAGAAGGTCAGCATCATGCCCAAGGTCAGAGAGTGAGGTAGCGGCAAAGGCAGGCCTAGGACCTGGTCTCTGACTCCAAGTTCTGTGCAGGGCCTCCACGGTAAGACGTGCCACAGACTGCTCCTGACAACTGGAGGGGGAAGGTTTATATGACCTTGGGCTCCATTTCAGGTTATGATTTGGTGAGGAGTATGTCAGATCCCAGAAGAGCTGAAGGATTCTGAGGATCAAGAGAGCATTGCAAACCCTCTTTCCTCCACTCCGTTTTAGCAAAATCTCCATGATTATCCCACAATCAAATGGCATTAAGAGACTCTCGCCGACAGGAAAGAAAGATAAAACCAAGGGGGAAGGCCCACACAAAGTCTGGAGCAGGTTTCTGAGATTTTGCTTCAGGCTGAGAAGTCTTCAGGACAACGGCACCTGAACCATCCCAGAGGGAAGTGCTTCGAGAGCCTACAGGAGCCAGGTCTCTTTTCTCTTCAGCACGTACTGACATCATCAGCCTGTCAACGATGACCAAAGACGGTCAATGAGACCCCTTCTGGAACATTCCTGCCCCAAGTCTAACTAAAAACTAGTTTCTAGAAATTAGAAGCTTAGAAATTAGGCTGAGTGGGGTGGAGGTTGGCACAATACAGAAAGAAAGATTCTGCAGGAAGAAAAAGGGAAAGCTGTACTTATATTTAGTTACTACGGGCCAGGCAAGGTCAGCCCTTTGTCTACGTTATTAAATTTAATCCAAATGGCAACCTGTGAAGCAGGTACTGTGACCCTTATTTCAGAAGGGGAAACTGAGGCTCCCAGAGGGAAGGTGACTTGCATGGATCACAGAGTGAACAGTGAGGGAAGAAGACGCTCTGCTTCTAACAAACGAAAATTCTGAAGAGAAAAAAAGACTGAACCAGAAAAGGGAAAACCTCACTGGTACCAAGGCTCTGGTGGAGCCGCACTGTCCCGGGGGGTTAATCTGAAAGTGTTCTGCCCTGATTACAGGATGGGCTACATCAGGGTGGCCCTGCAGCCATTCTTTCCACCGAGCCTGCTCAGAGCGCCCCCTGCTACCAGCTGGAGGCACTGCAGCGAGACGGCCACGAAACAGAAGCTGGGAGCAGAAGTGTCGCCACCCAAGCCACAGACAAGGAGAAAATCTCCAGCCAGGCAATTCCGCTCACTCCAGGCTGTGCAGGCCTCACCTGGAGCTCTGGGTCACATTTTGGGCCCTGTTCTTTACAGGGACCCCCAGAGGAGGGGGTCCAGGACGAGGAGCCCTCTAGAAACCTTGCCATGGGAGAAACCATTGAAGAAAGTGGGAGTATTGAGGGGAGGGAAGGTGCTCAACTCCGAAGGGCTGTCCTGGAGGAGGATGCAGAGCAGACCTAGGGAGCAGAGCATAGATCAAAGCATATGCAGAGCAGGGAGGAGAGCGAGGCCCACAAGCAGGTGATTCAGAAGGGCAGATTTTAATTCAATATGAAAACTTCCCAAAGGATGACTGAAGACAAAATGATCTGGCACTAAGAAGAGTAAGAGCCCCCTCTGTAGAAGGGGCTGGACTGACAATTTTCAGGGATGCTGATGAAGGGTGATGTTGCCCCCCTGTGCCCCACACCCCCCTCCAGTTATGGGCATCTTTGCTCTAGGAGCATCTCTGTGCTCTAGGGCATCACTATTTCTCTACCCCTGCAATGCTGCTGAGTACTGTCCAACCTCTCTCTCTCGAGAGAGAGAGAGAGAGAGAGAGACAGAGAGAGAGAGAGAGAGCTGGTACTTCTGTTTTTATTTTTACGTTGAGGAAAAATTCAGAGTAGAACTGTGATGACTTTTGTTTTACCACTCTTGTAGCTGACTCATGTCTCTTTTACAGTTTAAGCACATTTTCAGCAGCTACCAAATTTTTCTCTGGGAATTGAGAAAGGTATATGTCCTCACACATCCTATGCCAAAAGAGGAGGGTCAGAATCAGGGAGAAGGAGGTTTCGCCCAGATGATTGGTCAGTACCTTCCAATCCTGACAGTCTGTGAGGTGTTAGCAGAGAGGGAGGACGCAGCACCCCCTTCCCTGGGACTGGATTCCATGCCTGGCAGCCACGCAGGGGCACAGGAAGTTCCAAGAAGCCCTCCACCTGCTGCCATCCTGGGCACAGAAGTAATTCCCTCCTCATTTGGAAGACTTGCCTGACCAACATCTCTATAGCCCCAAGGATACGCCTTGGAGCAAAACGCCCACTTTTGCCTGCCTGGAGACCTCAACAGACCTATGCTCCAAGGGGAGTTTAGAGAAGATGGAGGCAGGGGATGGTAGGATGCCATCCCCTAACTAGCACTGCTAGACCTTACTCAGGCTTCTGAACAGAGATAAGACCTCAGGGTAGAAGGCATTTAGGTGCCATGATCCCCGATCCCAAGCTGAGAAGTCAGAAGTCACCTGCCTCAGCAGGGCCTGAGAGGAGGAGATCATTTCTGCCTCCCCTTTGAAGCCAGAGGTGACTCAGGCTGTTCCGTCTTCCCTGAATGTTTCAGTCCTATCTTTCCTGAGAAACAATGCATGAGGGAGGGACCAGCCCTTTATGGATCCCTGGGATGGGACAATCACTTGTCATAGCATGGGGACAACAAGGGCTACCCACTGCTCCCATCTGCATGGCAGAGTCTGGTCCACATCCCTCACCCCAGAGAAAGGGTTTTCTTAAGACCATTAGGGTGGTTCTGGGTGGGAGGGGAAGGAGGTGATGACAGTAACCTCAGGAGACGCTGCGAGGCTTTTCTGAGTGAACACTTCCAAGCCTGTGGCCGTCCCAGGCTCAGGTGCCAAGTCCTGCTGAGAGATGTCCTGGGTCCTCTGGGACTGCAGGGGAGGCCCAGGGCCAGAGGAAAGGGGAAGAAGGGGGGTAGGGAAGGAGAGGCAGAGACAGGAAGAGAGGGAGAGAGAGAAAGCAGGAGAGACACACACACACACAGAATGTAAATAGCCTGGCTTTGTAAATCCCACATCCTTAGGGTTTGTGGATTAGGTCAGGAAGGAGCCACACTTTGGGGGCCATGGGGCCAGAGAGAAAGGAACTGCCCCTCAGCACCACTTAGGGGCAGGAGGCCCAGGGTCAGTGCTGCCAGCACCAGGACTTTGGGCCTTTTCTCATCACCTGCCCACTCTCACGCAAGAGCTGCTGGAGCCACTTGGCCTCGATTGCCAGTCTTCCCTCGGAGTCTTTGGTTTAGGTGATGGTTCAATCCTGCAATTTGGGTCTCAGTCCCTTTTAAAAAGTTATCTTTGAAACAAAAACCTGGCTTTGGCAAATGGAAACTCTTCTTTGTAGTTTGAGGTCCCTATTTTGGTTCAGGTTCCCATGATTTCCCCTTGGCCCAGACGAGACCCAACAATGTATGAGGAAGATACTAGGAGCTCTGGATGCCACAAGCCTGAAGGATATCCCTGCCTCAAAGCCCACATTTGGATCAGGGAGTCTAGTCACCATCAGCAATGGCCCTGTGACTGCTCAGCATTTTTCAGTTTATAAAGTGCTTTTATATCCATTATTTCACTCAACCTTCCCAAAAACCCTATGGAGTGGCAATTTCAGTCCCCGTTTCGATGGACTGACTAGGCAGTGAGCTCAGAGAGGTGAGGTCACTCACCAAGGATCCAGTCCAGTCCTTGGCTATGGCTCCTCCCCATCAACCAAATTTTCAGTGGGGCCTGTAAGCCAGTTAAATGGTTCATCGCTCCAAGCTGAGCTCCTGGGCCAGACTTCTTTCCAGCAGTGGACTACGCTTCTCTGGGCAATAGTGGTGGGTTGAGGGTGGAACAGACTCCACCGTTTAAGTAAGACCCATCTTCTAGTAGTTCCAGCTATCACCAGCAGGTGGGGCACCGGGTCAGGCTGCTCTGGGGCACCCCAACGCTCCAGAGCCCAGCTCTCTAGGGCTCAGCCTGCCCTTCTCTGCAGGAGTCCGACCCTTTCAGAGGCCTCTGCATCCCATCTCACCCACTTCGGGACTGAATAGGGGCCACTCAGGTCAAAGCTCTCTCTCTAGGGCAGGAGAAGGGGGACACTTATCTCGATCACTAGACCAGCCCCCTTGGCCTAGTCCATGGGGTTCAGGGTCTTGATTGTAGCATGGTGACCACAGAAGCCCTCGGTGGATGCAGAGATTAGCCCTCCTTCCATGGCACCAGCCTTAAAGGCCCCAGAACATCCCTAACTTTGTGAATCACCAGCCAGGGAGCTACCACAGCAACCTCACTGGAGGAGGCCCTCTGTTATCTGACATGTTGAGGCCATGGGAGTGCTGATTCAATCAAATGCTCACTTATTAGATCATGGCTGCATCACCAATTTTCAAAGCATTAGAGGGCAGTATACACGCAGTTGACTCTATTCTGGTCTTCACGTGATTTGGTCTTGCTCCCAGGCTGCTGTGATTTAATAGCAAATACAATGGCCAGGGACACAAGAAAATCAGGTTCTAGCCCCTCTTCTATCAGCGATGACACTGACACTTTCCTCTTTCTGGGCCTCACCTGTAAAATGATGGCCTTGAACCAAGTGGGTTTCGAGGGTCCTCCCAAGTTTAAAACTGACTCTGATTAGAAGGTAACATGACGTATTGTTTCAAAATGAAACAATAAGTAACTCACATTGAGTACCTAGGTACTCTGCTGGCTCGTCCATGCTTTTTCTCATTGGATCCTCACAACATGCCTAAGAAGTCGGTACTTTTATTATCTCTACCTAGCGGAGGCTCAGAGAGGTTAATAACAAGCCCAGAGTCATCCAGCTAGCAGGCTGCGAAGCCAGAATTCAAACCCAGATGGTGTGAGTCTAGACCCCAGCTGGGTTTGAGCACAGTAAGCAGCAGCACTAGAGAGAAAACATCTAAGTAGAACCAGGGGTAAGAATGGCCAAGATTTAGCAGTGCTAAAAATAGTAGCTTGGGATTATAAATATAGGAATTCTCAAGATCCTATCTTTATCTCTTTTTCAATTGAGAAAGCTCATGCTTTCCACTCTGAAAGGCAGGTCGTGTGGGATCCTTTTCTGAAGCAACGGGAGCAGCTCTGATTTTCCTGGAGGACCCCTTCCCCTCTGGCAGGCTCTGAGGATCCTTCCAGGAGGGATACTCCTCCATCTGCATTTTCACAATACGCATGAAAGGGTCTGGCTACTGGATAGAACTATCGGGATTCTTAAAGTTCTGTGTACATGAGACTCGCCTAGGAAACTTGTTTAAAATGCTGATTCTTGGGCTCCACCACCAAATATTCTGACTCAGTAGGTCTGACGTGGGGCCCTAGAACCTGCACTTCTAACAAGCACCCTTTCCTCATCCTACTCTGGCTGATGGAAGGGGAACATACCAAGCTACTGTGAGTCTTTGAGTTTTTTAAGGTGGTCCCTGGGGTCCAGGATTCCAGGATTTGGTGAATTTGTCTTCCCCAGCCTCACCCACCACCCTCTGCCCACCGTCATCTGGTGCAGCAATGGGGGGAGGCATATAGGTGTGGAAGATGAGGGTAAGTCAGTACATAGCAACCTTCCCCACTCTCTTTACCCAAGGCCCCTATTGAGGGGTTCAGGGTGAGACTTACCTCATTGGCTTTCTCAGGGGTGCCCTTGGGGGAGGGGGAGGCGGGTGAGGAGGGCAGCCTGCGCTCTCGCTCCCAGTCTCGATCCCGGTGGATCAGTTTGCTGTTGGGTTCCTTCAGGGTCCTCTTGAGCTCGTTGATGCTGGCCTGGTGCTTCAGCAAGACGTCCTCTGGCTTGTCTAAGAACTAGGGGTGGATGGAGAGGGCAGCCGGGTGTTAGAGGAACAACACTGAGATGGGATGCAGGGCGTGTTGAAGATGGCAATGGTCACCATCGCTGCCCTACATCAGCAAGGTGATTCCCATCCACGACCCCATCTCACCCTCACAGCACCCCATGAGCCAGGCAGGGTAGGGACGATTAGCACCAACAGGTGCACAAAGCACTTAAGGATTAAAGAGGAGCAAAAGGTACTTAAGATTAATGAGAGGAGACTTCTGGTCCACACTGCCTGTTCTTCTCCCCTGCCTAGCTCCCAGCCTCGGAACACCCAAGTCAATTCAAACCCCACTGGTCTGGGTGAGTTCCTTCTGGTGCTGTGAGCCCACTCTTAGTCAGCACAGAGGTGACTTCCCTCTGCTCACAACCAAGGCACGGGGAGAACGCACCAACCCTCCTCACTGGGCTGCTCTCTGGCCTCCTGGATCCTGATCCCTCCCCATGGCCAAGACTTGGACCACTGTGCTTAGCACGATCCCCAGTCAAGGGCCCTCCTAGCCCAACATGTGCAATTGCTCAGCCCTTGGGGGGGGGGGCCCAGAATGCAGAGACTCCTAAAGCCAGGGACATCCAGAAAAATGGGCCCTGCTCCCACACCAGGGGTCCCACTAGGGACCAGGGGCCAGGAAAAGATTGGTTCAGCAGTCTCTGCTGTGAGCCACTACTTTTCCCAACCACCTAGGATCTTCTAGATACCTTGCGGGTACCGACTCCTCAAGAGCAGACAGGGTGAGATACAGCCAGATAGAGAAAACAGGATGCTTCAGGACGATTAGGAGAATTAGAGATCAGGAAGAAGAGAGGTGAGTCCCAACGCTGGGCATCAAAACTGAGCCAGGGATACTGGAGTCACGGGTGTGTCCCCATTAAACCACCAAGGCTGAGCTCTGGCCAGAGCAGCATGATAGAATAATCTGCCCCTAGGTGAAGGGAGGTCCAGCCTTTGCACAGGAGCCGGCAGTGACCTACTGAAGCTGCTTGTCTGCCTACTTCTGGGGGAAGCATGGGTAGGCTGGCAGCCTAAGGACCCTTAACTGTAAGCCTGTTTGAGGATTCATGTCAACTCAATTCAGGGCAAAAAATGGACAATCTCAGCTTATCATAAAGTCAGATCAGGTGATTCTGGAAGAACTACCTGGAAGGTAAGCTTGCCCTTGGACAAGGCTAGAATCTGTCCCTGGGCTCATCTCCAGCATCCGAGGATCTACTGTGACTGACCCCTAAGTTACCTCAGGAAGAAACCTGATGCTACTGAAGCTGCTTCTTTCCCTCCAAACAGCTGTCTGTACCTCCGGCATCACTTCCTGAGCTGAGCCGCCTCAGGACAATGTCTGTCTGTCAAACCTGATAGAGTTTGCATGGCGGATGTGTCTGGGCTTGTAACCTTCCATCCTGAACCTGTCGCTCTGGCTCTGTGGGAATGCACTATTCCCGAAGGTTAGAGGGTGCAGGGGAACCCTGAGATCCTTGAAGGGCCTTAGAGAAACCTAGTCCAAGTGACTTGCTGTGCGGATGGGGGACAGGGGCCTGAGGGGACTTTCCCACGACCCTCAAAGGGTCAGTAGCAGAACTGGGGCTGAAACCCAGATCATGGGAATCCAATGCCAGGCCCTTCTTATGTCCTGGCCTCTGGCCCTTTCCCTCAGGCCCAAGAACAAATCCACTTCTCTTACAGTTAAGGCTCAAATGAAGAGTTGGAGACTGTGTGAAAGAAAGGAGAAGTGATTAACACAGGAGGAAGAAACTGAGGGAAGCAACGATGGGAAGAAGAGGAGAGGGAGGAGGAGAAAAAGAGAGCAGCTTTCCTGACAGAGCTGGAGCAGTGGCAGGCCCCACCGGAGGGAGCTGCAGCTGGAGTCCGAGAAGAGGTAGACGTGCTCTCAAGTGCC